AGACCAACAGGTCGGGCAATGTATGTAATAACGTATCGTATCGTATGTAATAACGTAACGTAACGTATCGTATAGTATGTAATAAATTATCTAACCTAGAACGTGAAAGTTTAGAAGTCAATATAAGTCTATATTAATAATACACTACGAATCAGGAGTAAAAAAATATTATAAGTCTGAAAATCAAGAAAGTTTAACAGTTTACTTTAGTAAATCCTAGTTAAGGAATAATCGATAAATATTTTTTATATTTAATTATTTTTGCACAAATAACAATTCATTGTGAAATGGCGGACTTAATGCCACAGGCATTTTCTCCCAGTCTACCTTTGGGTGGTGAAAAAATGAGTAGGTGCACTAAAACTTAAGTTTTTATTTGTTAACGAGATAGTAATAATAAAGGATATGGACAGAAACATTGTGCTGTCACAATGTAAACAATTTATGTATGTATATAATTCAGCAAGTATATATGTATGTATGTATATGAATTATATACATACATACATACATTTATACACACAATGCAACATTTAAAACTTTAGGGATATGATGAATCTGCTAGTGTCGAGAAATCGAGCTCGGACTTTCGTCTTAAATGAGAGGCGGCTGGGTGTTATCCTGATTTCGAGAGGTAGAGCGTTCCAGAGGATTCCAGATTGGATTAGGAATTAGTGGACACATGCGGAAGTATGAGTGGGGCATAACAGAAGTGGATTGTTAGAGAAACGGAGGGTATTGTTGTGATTAGAACATTGCATTTGGAATGAGGATGTCAAGTAGGAAGAAGAAATAGGTGAGTTGAGAATGGAATAGAGAGTGGTGAGGGCGTGCAGCTGACAGCGCTGACGAATCGTGAGTCAGTTCAATTCGCGACGAAAGGAGGAAACATAGTCGTAATTACTTTGTTTTACAAAATAAAATTTCACAACACTTGATGTTTATTGTTCTTTTATTGTTTTTCTTATTCCATTATTTTACTTTGGTAGAACTATATAGTGAAAAGGCACTTTATAGTTATTCAAAAGCGTAATAACTAGTTCTGACTATGAATACTAAAAGAAATAGGTAACAGAAGGAAATACAACTGTAGATCACTACGAAGATCTATTCTGTCTGGTAACCGATCTGCAGTCACAAATGATATGTCACATTTGACATCTTATTATAGACTCAGACGCGCTCCACTGCTTTCTTTTACATATGTCCATCCTTTTTCGTGAAATTACTTTACTTTTACATAAATTCGGCCAAGTGAAAGGAAAGATGAAACATAAAAAATGGAACTGAACTGTTCTTTCTTTATCTATTTTTACAATATGAATGATACATCACCGCGTCAGTTTTGTAATTTTTCTTTTGAAAAGGGTAAGCGAACAAACGCTTTGATTATAATATTTATTACTGTCTGTTAACACCTGTAATTTTCTTGTAAAAACAGAGTGCTGTTTTTTTGAAAAATGCTTAGATATAACAGTGGTTATATCTAAGCATTTTTCAAAAATCTTAATATATCACCCTCAAAATTTTCTCTTAAAATACGGTACTAAAAATAATCATTCTGATTTGACATTAATTGCGCTTAAAAACCGCTCAAAAAATCATGTCTTTGACAGACTTGATTTAAAATTACTTTGTACTTTTCTATCACAGAAACCTAAACGAAATTGTTTTGCTATGAATTTTTTGCATTTTTTTTAAGACTAATTTCTTGCAAGTGAAATACTTAGGTACTGAATTGTGTTTAATATGCGTGTTTATGAGAATAATTCAAAGCAACGTATTCATAAAGGTTTTGTGAATAAATATTTAAAATTGGTATTAGAGATTATTAGAGATTTAGAGAGTATTAGAGATTTAACAATGCTTTTATGTTATACAAGGTACATTTACCTATTGCATGTCGTATCATGTATGAATATGATGATTGAATAGGATTATGAATATCTACTTAAAAGTGAGATAGAAATTTGAAGTAAAATACTATTATTGAAGATAGATTCTAGTAATCCTTACAGTACTTAGTAAATTTAAGTTAGAGGTGAAAATTAAGAGATGGAACGGAAGGTATTACTTGCTTTATCGGATTTCCTCTACTATAATATGCATGGCCCTCCAGAGACAAATACCTCAAATAAGTTGGAACCTACATATAATAACCTACTCTATATTGCAACATTCAATGTAAATACATTATCTTTTACCCGAAAAAGAGGAAGATCTATAACCAGATGGGTGGACGACATTACACAAGTAGCAGGCAAAGACTGGCAAACCGAAGCCAATGACCGAGACCACTGGAGTTCTCTGGAGGAGGCCTTCACCCTCACAACTTGAGGGGTTCATGCTTCTTTTTATTATAAACTTTTCTTTAATTTACAATTATTAAAACAAGGAAATTTAAATATTTAATTTTACGCATCTTTAATAATTAACATTATTATTATAAGAGCAATCAAAATTTATTTATTTATTTTAATTTAATCTATTATTATTATTTAAATTTAATATCGGATATTTAATGCATAAATTAAAAGGCTTTTTATTTTTTTTATTTTATTAATATGCATGTATTATACATGTAAACCCGCTTCTTGAATCACTCTCTCTATTGAGGAAAACCGCATTAAAATCCATTGCGTAGCTAAAAATATCTAAGCGTACAAGAAAAAAATGACTTCATTTTATGCTGTGTAAAGAATTATGGAAGTATGGATTTCCTTTCGCAAGCTACCCTTTTTAACCGACTTCAAAAAGGAGTAGGTTGTCAATACGGATTCTTATATATGTATCTTTTTTATGTATGTTCGAGCATAACTCCATCATATATAGACGGATTTTCAACATTCTTTATTTTTGTTCGAAAGGGGTTTAATCCGAAATGATGCTATTTAAATTTCATGCAGATCTGACAAAGTATTCTTCAAATGAGTTCGGAAGCAAACCACGGAACTCTTTAAAAAAAATTTTTTAAAAGGATTTATTAAACTCATTTTGAGATTATTTTTTTAAGTAAAATACTATTATTGAAGTTAAAATTTAATTCTAGTAATCCTTACAGTGCTTAGTAAATTTAAATGAGAGAAGAAATTTGAGAGATGGAACGGTAGGTATTACTTGCTTTAGTCATAAGGCTTTAAAAAAATATTCAAAATCATGTAAACTTTCGTATTTACACTACAACTAATAAAATTTAGTGCATAAACACACAGCCTATATATATGGTACGGCTATATATGTATGTATATGGTACCTTATGGTGAACGGATACCGGTGCCTATACTCAATACAAGTTTTTTCACTTTACAGAACATATCAGTTAAGGCCCCACGGTTCGTATTATTACGAACAGACCGGGATAGCTACGTACCAAGACTCTAACAGTGTGTAAAAGTGAGTGTATCGTCGCAGTTGCGATTCTTACTATGAAATTCCTAATAGTAAAGAAATAAGGAGAAAGAAAGCATGCTAGTGGATATCAGTAAATTAACCGCTTTTGATAAACGAGTTGCTATTATTACAGCCGACAATGGATCACAGCGCTTGAGTTAAAACCGCAATTTTGAACTTAGACGTCAGCCGCAAGTGTCCAGCCTGCACCGATAGGTTTCTTCAAGAGCTACTTTGCGAGCGGGTGAGAAGTAGTGAGTAGTGAGTTGTAAAGTGTGACAAACCTTTTACCATCAGGCGATCCTGCACTTGTACCTTAACTACTTCACTACTATTAATATTCAATAATTTAATTAGCAAAACACAAGTACACAAGTAGATGTTGAAACGGATAAGGAAACGAGTTGGCTAGAAGCTTGCATGCGCCAGTAATTCAAAACATTAATTACGCTTCAACTGCTATTTTGTACTTCGCCAATTCTCTTTATTACTTAGCTGCTTTGGCGAGGAAATGTGTTTAGAAATGTGTTGAGCAGGCTCTTAGTTTACAATTTACTTACTGTAATTTACTTAATTAATTAATAATTACGTAATTTACTTACTGTTTAATTGTAACTTTTATCCCTGTGACGAAGGTGTGTTTGTCATTTATAGGATTGCTGTCTCCTATGTACGAATAACATGTAATTCTTCTTTAAGTACTGTTACTTAAATACAGTTTAGAAATTTCAAATATGACTGAAACTTGATTTATTAGGTATCAAAGTCAGGTTTTAACCTGACTTTTATAGTAACGTTTTTATTTGCTATTAAAAACTCTTTGACAATCGAATCGAGATAGAAAAATTAGTATGAATACACATTTCAATATGAATTAATAAATAATTTTTAACTGTCTTCAAAAAGGAGGAGGTCATTATCAAAGGGTCATTATCAAAATTCTTTTTTTTGTTCGAAAGGGGTTTATTCCGATATGATCCCATTTAAATTTCATATAGATCTGATCACGAGTTTCGGAGACAGACAACGGCACTCTTCCAAAAAAATAACAGCAAATGAACCGCGATTGCTGCTAGGTTTTTAGTGATCTTTGTTAGTATTGTTTGAAGTCGGTTCAACTTTTAAAGGATTTATCATGTTTAAGATACCATACAACTTTTAATTCCCTCGACTTATATTTTTCGAACGTAAAATTTCCAGTAGATGCTTATTCACTACTTAACAAATCAGAAGAGCTTTGTACACATTAGAGGTGCAACTGCAGCGAAAAGTCGTCTATATTTAGAACACCAGTGCAAGGACTTGTAACTGTAAGTTGTAGCCTTAAGCTTTGCAACTTCTCCCATCTATTTACTCCCCGTCGTGGATACTCTTGGCTTACGGGACGAGAAGCGCATGCTCTAATGATGTTTGTTGAATAAGTTACACAGTGTTTGATAAAATAGATTAATAGTTTTACCCTTCCTAACGTGTTTAAGTAGTTTGTGTATAAATAAACTATAAATTTGATGTATTCTTGCGTATTCCCCATTAGAATATCCACCCAAAATAATAACCCATAATTGCAAGCCTACCTTAATATTATTAAAACAAGTTATTAACAAACTCACCATTTTTTAGTTTTTCCAGTTGCTCCACAGGTACGTCCTAAAACAAAAGAATTTCAGTTAGAAGGTTTTTAAATAAAAATTACGTAACATGAATTTATACTTAAAATGCGCTTTAACAGTGCGTGTAATATGGGTTTAGCTAATAAAACAAAGAGATTAAGTGTCTCTAGAGATAACACTAAATTAAAGTGGAGCTGTAGAGGTTCAATGAAAAGGCTTTTTAACGTCTAAAATGCGTTAGAACCTTGTGTAGATAAAAAAATAATGTAAGCGTAAAATATATAAAAAAAATTATTTCTTACTAGCCTCTGGCAGCGAATAAATTCGTTTTGATGTAGATTTTGTCCAACAATTCAGATATTCCCCGGAACAGTACTAATGTTCCTTAAAAGGTCAACTATATAGACTATGTGCCTGATAATATCTATTTCAAATGATTCCGATGTGATATCGCCCATTTTATTACAGAGCAAGATCATAATATATATCCTAAACAATTCAAAGCTCCTGAAAGGGTAAGAAAGGAATAGCGTATTCAGATAGACGCGAATTTATTTAGCAAACATTATAAGACAATAGAGGTTCCGTACGTTATATTAGGGACAGAAATTGCTGTGGTCTTTTCACATTATAATAAATGCAAATTGGCAGCATTCGAAATCACGATGATGATTTAGTTTGAATGTTTAATTTTATTATTAAACCTTTGAACTTTAGACAATTTTAAATCACTGCATGCTTTAGGAATGTTTATTTTTGAAAATAAATATTTTAGTTTCAATTCTACAAATTAATAATTTAAATACTTGTTATTGCGTTTCATCTAGATTTATAATATTTTAACCAGACAGAAACAATTTTATATCATAAAAGGCTTATGATAAATTTTCACAGCACCTTCAATGCCTTCGCAATAATGGCTGCCAATAAACTTACTAAAAGTATTATGTGATAAAATGAACTTTAGCCCAGAGATCACGGGAGACGAACTATTAAGTACCCACAATTATTTTTATAGGGTATCATTCGAGTGTGTGTATTTGTCCTGGGAGGTCGCGATTGTTTTAATATTGTTTTTTTTTAAGAAACATACAGATATGAAGTATTCTAAATGGTATCTTGCTCCGAGCCTTTTTCCCAACCTAGGTAAGGGTCGGTTTTAAGTCCACGATAGGCTGAAATTTAATTTTTTACGCGGGGCGACTGCCATCAGACCTCCACAACCCAAGTACTAGGCGATATCGAAGTTTTGTAGATAAATTGTTGCCGGACTTTTTAGGGCTCCGATGTGGTATCGCCCATTTTATTACTAAGCAAGATCATAAATATCCTAAACATTTCAGAGATCCTGAAATGGTAAGAAAAAAATTGCGTTTTCAGATTCAGACGCGACTTTATTGGACAGACAGACAGACATTGACAGACAATAGGGACAGAAATTGCTGTGGTCTTTTTACATTATGATAAATGCAAATTGGCTCCAAACTACCCGTAACGATTGCCATGGATGTTTGTATGGCAACTGGGACTGACTGCTTAACGTGATTTCCGAGGCATAGTGTGTTAAGAATCGTCACCCATCCATAGACTGGCCTGGCTAGGATTACTTAACTTGTGAATTTTATATGTTGTATGAATAGAATTCTTGTAACCCGTCTTCTCTACGGCTAAGTGTGCTAGAAGTGCGTCTGTTTGGTGGGGGCTATTGTGATATTTCGACCTTCATGAAAACCAGCTGTATATGTATGTACATTTCATACAAAAAGCAGTAACTCAATTAATTTTAAAAGATGATGCTTGCTGTTTGTTAGTCAGCGTAATGGGTCCGATTTAAGTTGTGACTGTACGAAAGTTACATTTTCACGTATTTAAGATTTGTAACTTGGATTAAAGTACAGTCTTCGCCAAGCTTACTCTTAATCCTTGATATTGGTGTCAGTTTTGATCCTTATTTTTCCTTACTACAACCACAATATGCCACAGCGAAGCATGGCATTTATCTATGTAAATATCTAATTAAAAATTTATAAGTATGTTTATCAGCAGTCTGATTCTTACCATAGTACAGGCTCTGCCTAGTTTGGGATTAGACGGCCATGTGTGAAATGTGTGAGGTTATTAATAAAATTGGTATTATTAAAACTTGATTTTTATTAACGTACCATTATTCTTCACAAAGCATCTTTGTAACTAGACAAAGTAAAATCACAAATCTTTAATAAATTTGTTTTAACACAAGATCATTTGGATACAAAAGGCTGTTTGTGAAACGTGCTCGATTAGTGTTAGACCTAAGTTCAATGGTTGGTTTTGATTGTAGGGCACGGTTTAATGACCTTTTCGAGCGAGTATTTGTTTTATACTATACTGTTATATACTAGAAGTAGATAAAAGGTATATCGCCGCATTTCTGCTTGGTTAAATTTTATTAAGCAAGAAACTTAAGGTACTTGGGAAATAATTATGCATTTACAATATCGATAAATAAGATATATCGCCGGCCCCGGAGAATAAAATGGTAATCGCAAAAACTTAACTTTTCAGGAAAAATAAAAAACCAGTTTTTGTCTATAACTTGTCTGATAATAGACTTAGATAATCCAAAAAGGACTCAAATGAAAGCTAATTTTTGAAGCTTTTAAACTATTTTAACAAGCCTTTAATTGGATCAATCAAATTCAAGATATTCAAAATTTAAGAAGTTAGTAAAAAGATAAAGTTAGCGTAATTTAGTATTACACACTTATCATTTTGTTCTCGTCATTTTATTACAAATTGAATATTGTAATATCCTATTACATTGATATTCAATTATTTGACAGCGCTAAATTATGGAAAAATATAGTATCTTACCATTTTATTCTCGTTCATACGGGATATCAATAATGAGACAATAAAACTTAGGGCTATTATTCTGGTTAAGCAAATAAAATAAAGTTATGTTAATCAGATTTTACTTAACTTTAAATGCACAAGAAAATTTTTAAAAATAAATTAGTCTGATTTTCATTATCAATAAATCTATGGCTTTCAGAATTACTACTTTCATAAGTCAGAGATTCGTAGAAAGCATGGTAGAAAACTGGGATCGCTTCTGATCTACACAAGCTCATAAGGTCGTCGTGTAAAGCCTTACTTGGTGGCAAAGGTTCCCTATAAGCCACATTCAACTGAAAATCACTGACAGAACCTGGTGTAATAGGCGCTGTCTGTTTCATACCTCTCTTGCTTCTAGCTTGTTTGACATTCTTGTTTGACACTGTTCGACATTAAGTTGAGCATACTCAGCCTCAAAATCATATTTAAAGCGTAGAATAGATGGCTGTGAATGTAAAACGTTTACTTCCATTACCTTAGACCACATTATTTTCTGACCTTCTTCATTATTGACCCAGTTCTTGTTTTTTATCAAATCCTTTATGTTAAAGAACTCATTTTATAACATTTCCTTCACAATATATTTCTCGCCGTTGATTTTAGCATTCATAAAGATAGCATAAATCTGTTCAGTGTATATACGACCCTGCGTTTTAATTCACGTTCAATACTAGAGTGCATGGAATCGCCTTCACTCTGGCCATGGCCTGTTTCGAAAAATCTATGTGTTATATTTATTTGAAGTTTCTGATCAGCAAAAATGTATAAAGCAAATATAAATCTGTTTTTGTTTTGTCCTGCACAACCATCTGAGTATAAAAAAAAGTTTTTCATACCTCTTTCCTTCCCACTTAAGAAAAATTGCCACATGCAGCTTCCTATTTCTATTGCTCCTCTTTTTGCAATTGTGTGGTGCCAGACATAGCAGTGACCTTTAAGTCTAGTACTATCAAAAATAGTAAAGTTGTAAATAGGATATTTCCTCTTATAATGAAATTATTCCAACTGCAGATTATGGAATATTTAATACCTTTTCTAAATCGAAGATTGCTATGGTTGTATGTGAAGGATCAATGGATTCCTCTTATTCTTTTTTAATTTGACGTACTCGATCTTTGCTTCTTTGGTGTTTGTCATACTTATCTTGCAATGTCGCTTATCGAACAGAATCAGCTTCTCTGTAAAGAGTGCAAGTGGAGCATTGGTCTTTTTTTTTGGTTTAAAAAATGAATAATTGAACTTGGTGTTAAAAATGTTTTCATATTGCCGTTTAGAAGCTATCGGGCAGTCATAATTTCCCTCTTGGAACCGACTTTGATATAGACGGTACATTTTACTCACATTAAGTAGCTCTGATAGATATTGTCTGGCAGAATCTTTTCTTAAATAATGTGACTCGACTACAGGGAACAATTGAATGTGTTGGATGATATTTTCCTCCACTTTTAGAAGCATTTTACGTGGCCTGTTATTATGGTGCCCTCTGTTATCAACTAAGCCTTTGTCAGATTTGTCTTTTTCTAACGCCGTATAAACTGTCTGATGCGAATGTCTGAATTTAAAATGAAAGAAATATTTGAAATGGTTGAAGCCATTTTGGAAATATCATGAGTGGCTGCTTTTATGTAAGCAGAGTCTCCACCAATTCTTGATGGTGTTTTAATAAACCGGTTTGGGCTTGGCACATATTCAGAAACATCTGGAGAAAAGTCTTCATTAACTTCTTTATCGTTATTTTCACAATATTGTTTTTTTGTTGATTCTGTAAGACAAGATAAGAAAAAAATCATCGAATATCTCATAAAACTACCTCAAACTATGATAGGCCAAACTGGTTCAGCAGGTCAAATAGTTACGCTGTAGTTAAAATTTACTTCCTCCACCTGCGGGTTTTTACCTTGACCTGGCGGAGGGGGCTCAGTAGTCGTGAGTCGGAGGATGGCAACTCTTAACCCACGTTGAAGCTAACGGGAACCATAGAAGAAGCTGCTTCCTCGAACTTTCGGTGCAACGTGACGATCTTAACTGCTAAAAATTAAATGAATACGAGTATAAAACACATTTAGGTACCTACCACGTTGGGCACGCCGTCATTGCGGCGGTAAGACCCGTTATGGAGGATTGGCTCGAGAGGCGTCACGGGACCCTCTCATACCGATT